TTTATCCTTTATCCTAATTATCCTAATCCTAATTAACCAGCCTTTATCGTGATAGGCTACTAAGTTTTAATTTATACCAATAATTAACGCAGTTAAAGCGACATGCATTAGCATGTTAAGGAGGGCCTTGACGGTTTATCGTAGGCCTACAAACACACAATTGGGTTTACTAGAATGTTCATAAAAAAGGGTAAACAAGACGTAGTAGCATATATGCATGATTTGTTATTGATGGAAATTTACAGGGTAATTAGTTAACTCCTCAGGAGGTGGAAATATGTTTTCTGTTACAGATAATGAAAGACTCAATGAAATTAGTTTAATTACTTTTAGAGTTGTATTTATACATATTACGATAATTGTACCATTTGGTCTATTTTCGCTTCTGTGAGGAAGTAAATATGTAACAATTTTATAGTTGAAATTCATTTTTATTTCTAGGCCAACTTAAATTGCTTTTTGTTTTTGTTTTTTTTTGCAAATCAAGATTCATTTCTTCCTCATTACACTACCAAATGTGTCAAGAGTCATTCTGCATCAGTTCTCATCATCTTTTTCCTTTCTTCCCTTCTGAAAAGCTGTGAAAAACACCCGGGAGTCTTTGACCTGTGGGTAAGTGAAGTGCAGCAGGTTTCAGTGTATTCATGAGGTTTGTATGGAAGGGCCTGTGAGACGTCTCCCGCTGGTTTCTGCCTCACTGTGGAGTTCAGTTTGTTTGTCTAGCGCATTAATAGTTCCAATACCAGCTTTGGGAATCATCTCTATTAGAAGTCGTAATGCATTTTTAATGGGACACAACTGTATTCTGTGGCCCAAGTGTGTTGGTCAGTAAAGCTAAATATAGACTATAGCAAAAAAAACACTATGAAATCAGAGAAAGAGACATCTATGGTGAGATTTATCGGTAAAATGAACCACAAGGTCCTCCAATGTACACGTACATAAGACGTTCTGTGTGTATTCCCACCTGGAAGATCTTTAATGTGTTTTTATACGTGGGGGGGGGGGGGGGGGGGGGGGGGTCTACAGTAATATAATGAAATATTTGTGAAATGTTGCTTGCAATGTTGCTTTTGTCAGAATACACAGCTATACTTTTGAATGGACATCAATGGTGAAAAATGCCCTTTTGAACCAGATGATGTAGTTATGACATCAACCACCAGGGGATAACTGCTAACCAGACAATCATTGACCTATTCACCTCTGCCACCTCTGGACATTTTGACCAGGATATGAAGGCTGAAGGTGAAGTTCATCCTCGAGAGCATCCCAACATAGCCGGTGGTAACTATTTTTCAAGTTTACTAATATTTGCTATTATGGCTATCTCCTGGCAACTTATAGCTATACATGGGTTACACTTTATTTTCATGGTCCACTTCAGACATTTGATTCTTAAACCTATAAGTAACTTTGCAACTATATTTCAATTACCAGTCATTAGAGTATTAGTAGACTGTCTGTTTAAAATCTGTAAAAACTCCTCAAACAGACACTCTAATAAGTAACTTTGCAAGTACAAGTACAACTTTAGCCCCTTTCACACAGCGCTTTGAACCCGGCAAATTGCCAGAGTGCCTTCTGTGTGAACACAAACACGACCCGGGACTGATGCCGGGATCGATGCCGGGTTGGGGACCTAGTAACATTGCCGTGTTCAGACCCGGAACGCGCGCTGTGTGAACAAAAGCCGTAACCAATGCCGTGTCGTAATGATGACGCTGAAGTGAAGTGAAAGCAGGCTAGTGAAACGGTACGTAATGCGCTAGTTTATGATCGAATCAGAGAAAAAAATGCACAAGCGTGGTTTCTCCAGAGAGAAATCGCAGCTCATAAGCAAACTATACACGTTGCTGAGACATTACATGTCACATCGATGTCACGTGTCTTTCCGGAACATACACGGGTTGTGTGTGAACGCGCTCTCTGATTCCGGCAAATCACTGGCAGTGTGAATGAAGCAAAATCAAACGAACCCGGGTCAAATCCCGGGTCGCTTTATCCGTGTATTTTCCGTAATCTCTGTGTGAAAGGGGCTTTATTCTACTAACCTGAACCTAACAGTGCACAGTAGTTAGTTGACACGTAGTTGCAAAGTTACTTAGAGTTAGAGGAATGCCTAAAGTGGACAATCGAAATAAAGTGTAACCGCTACAAGTATTAAGAAAATAAATAAGTTCCATTCTGATGCCGACTTTAAAATAGAAAGCAGGCATCTTGGTCTGTGTTTCCTAAGGACACACTTATTAAAAACTTAGTTACGAGGAGTTTCTGCCCTTAATTTTGTCCTTCTCGTGTTCTTTCTTTTCCCCCAGCCTTTTTTTTTTTTTTACATGTTCACACATTTTAGACATTAAAAAAACATTAAGGAGCCACTTCCATTATTGCCGGTATGATCATGTAATAGGGAAGCACTCAGCACGGACGTAACATGTTTACTTTGTAAGCACACAAATACTCTCTCGAACACTCTCTGTCTCTGTTTACTAGCTCTGTCTTGGTAAAACTTGGCATGTCCGACCAAGAGACTTGTCAAGCATGCACTTAAAAATAATACAAGTAGAAAGCAGTGCGTTTGTACAGTCCAACCATCACTCATCATTTCATGCTGAATTGGATAGATTTTACAGATGAAAAACAAACCCATAGCGCTAGCAGCACACACACAGTTTGCAAACGTACTCACATATGATTCGCCCTTCAAATACACTGAAGGTAATTATTAAAGGTCAGATTATGCATAAAAACGTAAAGCCTGAAGGACTAAAGCCAGCACGGTCTGTTTGCTCAGAGCGCACGTGCATTCGCACACCCAAATGAAGCACATCATTTCGGTTTCTAGACATTTCACCAGTCATTAGTCACTGTTCTGACCCTGCGATTTTATAAGGTCAGTGGCATAGAATGGGTTGTGTGTGTGTGTGAGCACGTTGGGCTCTACACTGGCTGATGTTAGTGTTGGATGAATCCAGTCATGTTGGCCTCATTGGATTTTCAGAGCTGGTCAATAGAATCACTCTCACTCTCCTCTATGTGCCTCTGTATTTCGTCCCAACACACACTATAGTTGTGCCGTTATGACACACACTTTATATGCTACTTTTGGCACCCATTTATCGAGCCTCATTAAGCTTTCCTATGATAAATCGTGTTAAATTACAACAAGCTGGCTACACACTTTGCTAGCTTGCCCTTCCAACACTGCCTGTGTCATTGGGCACATCTTACACACACAAACAATTCCTGTGTATACAGGAACCCAAGTTCGTCCTTACCAAGAGAAACTCTCATAAACTTTAAAACACTCCGAAATATGTCTCTTTTATTCCGTCTCAAACCGTAAAAGATTAGTTTATACCCACCCCACCACCTAAAATACTCAAACAGCGGATAATCTATCATCCGTTCTCTCTCGCGCGCACTTTCTATCTCAGGCATGGCATGCTTCCAGCCCTTATCAATAGCCCTCATTAAATCATGGTGGTGTCTGTCTGCCATGCCACATTACGGATGAGAGACAGATAGCTGGACTGACGTCCCACTCATCCCACCCCCGGAGGACAGCGCTCCGCTTCCCCTCACGCCGAAAAGACCAAAGTGTCAACTTTATTTACATTGTGATGGTGTTGAGTGGTTTAAAAAAGGTTTGTTTTGTTTTTTTTACCGACGTGATAGTTACGATTTATGTTAAGAACACATAACAGAGGAGTACAAAAATGTACATTTTTCATTGTGCTTCTTCTTTTAAACTGATTGCAGCTAGAGCTGTACTGTTCCACTCAAACAAAAGCTGAGCTCTGAGAAATAAACATGAACGTATATCTTAGAAATACAGTGGGATGCAAATGTCTGAGATCAATCATATTGAAAAACTGGGATTTTAAAAATGGAAATGTTTTTGCATTTTGAAATGTGTAAGGCAATGAAAAGTTGTGATGTAAAAGGAAGTAAGTTTTTTTTTTGATTCGTCACTATTTCTAGGTTACTAATCAAATTTGTGACATTGATCATGTGACTGTATATACAGACGGTCAGATGTTTTTGCTTCCACTGAAGCACAAATGTGCACTTTGAATCATCCTAAATCATGCAGGAGAACATCAGGTTTTATAAGAACTTGCAGAGTTCATGCTACTCGAGAGCTGCTGTCATAAAAATAATATTTTCAAAATACTAAGATGTGTTTTTTTCCAAGTTTTACCTTAAATTGTTATGCTAACAATATATTTTGAAACAAAGAATATTGTATTTTTCACTAGTCATCTCAGAAGTTTGGTCCTCTCTGTAGTTGCTCATTGGTTCTTTGCAGAAACTTAATATTCAAGAAAGATCTCTTGTCTTATCAAGAATAATATAAGGTTATATAAGGTTCTAAAAGCTATAGCTCTTGAACTGGCTTTATTGTTCTTTGAGGTTAAAAAAAGGTATTGATGTTACATTACAGATTCTTCAGGCGTGTTGGCATGAGTATTAGACTCATTCTAAAGAACAAAACTCTTAAAAAAATTAATGTTCCAGATGGGGTTTTACACAGTGATGCCATTTTGAGCTCCCCTAAGAACATTTCAGTGAATAGTTCTAAAAATAACCATTTCTTTCTCTGTGTAAAGAACATTTTAATCATCTAAAGGACCTCCTACGTGCCAACACAAAATTGCTGTTCTATGGCTCTTCGTAGAACGATAGATGGAAATAAAGAACCTTTATTTTTAAGAGTGAAGATGATAAAGTTCTTTGTGGAACTCAAAATGGTTCTCAGAGCTCGTCTGCAAGTAGATGCAATTGAAAGTCTGAGATTTCAATGTACAAAGATCAAAAATGTTTGATTTTTACAGCTCTGTACTTTCAATGCATGTCAACAGTTGTCTCGTTTTATAGCTTGTGAGTAATTTAAGATGCAACATCTAATGCAAAGTTGCTAGTTAAATTAGATATGTCCGAGAACTTAATTAACGAGCAAACCTCTGAGAAATGAAGTCATCGTTACACCCACTCACCTGGAGTTTGTCATTTCCGTCTGTCCTCCTTGACTTTTTTCCAGCCCCAGTTTGGTGAAGATCCCAACCAGCACCATGATGGCCACCACTCCACATATTATGTACACGATCATGTGAGTGCGGTCTCGATCCGGTTCCTCCTGGACATCGGTCACCGGAGCCGCCGGCTTGCCCGTGTTGGCCCACACCGGCGTGTCGTAGTTGGAACAAGACGTCTGGTCCAGGCTGTGGACCTTGAACTGGCAGCAAAATCGATAGAAACAGGAGCCGCAGCAGAACAGGTAGATTCCCACGTTACAGTTAAACGGAGGATCCCATTGGCCCATCACGTCGTAGTAACCCCAACAACGGCTCCCGGATGACGGGATTTCTTCTGGTTCTGACCCCGGGGTCGCAAGAGTGACCTCCGGAGCACCAGACGGAGCAGCCGTCTGATTGGTGTCCTGCTCACCTGTGCTGGCAGTGTTGGATTTTTGACAGAAAGAGACGTAGCTCAACAGTAAAATAGCAGTTAACACATTCAAAAACAGGTGTGAGGCAGCCATAATCTTCTTCGAGTAATCCCACAATGCGTATCCCAGAATGCAACAGCGCCACTGGGGACAATTAAACCAATGGAGTTTAGATAATGTGGACCAAGAAAGCAAGTTTGCTGAGCAAAGAGTTGTCTCCGAGTTTAGAGCAGGTTTATTGCTGACTTGTTGTCCGGCAAGCTGATACAGGGAAAGCAGCCCTCATCAGTGAACGAGACGGAGAGCTTTCCACGGCACTTCAGCACACAACATGCTCGCTGTTGTCATCACTACAGGGAGAGAGCGAGAGCGAGCAAGATTCCTCCCCTTTGGAGAGACTCCAGATTCAAGGATCTCACCCTGAGACAAACTGTTCGTGGCCCGAGAGAGAGAGAAAACAGCACTTGGTAAAATTCCAATTCAGAAGCCTGAAGGAATCACAGCGTTGGACTCAAGCCCTATCCGTGATCTTTGTCCTACTGAACATTGTGTGATGCCAGCGAGGAAGAGATGCGTCACTCTACAGTTCGTAGGTAATCTACAAGTCATTCTCAGTGTTTTCCACTCTTCTGTTCTCTCAAAGGAATATCTGTTGTTCTTTAGTCCCCCTGACGCCTTTGTTTTCACAATCAAGGTGTCTTCCTTCTGCTCAGTTCTGTCCCCTGTGACAAAACACCAAACATATTGTCAAACACTGCAGTTTTTAGACTTTAGTTTTTTATACAGTGTTCATGTACTAGGTATAATTTACACAAGTTCTAAAAGTTATATATATAATATGGTTATATATATTAAATATTTTTGTTATATTTATATGGCCAAATATATATATATGTAATTTTATATAAATATACATAACTTTTGGGTAAAAATATATTCCTTCCAAAAATATTTTAGCTGGTGCTTAATAGTCTGAATACGTAAATGTTAATCAGAATATATAGTCATAGGTCTAAATATATAGAAACAAATATATAAATATAAATATATTACATAAAAATCTAAAGGATAATAAAATAGACATACATTTTAAATACCAAACACAGTTCTTGTTTTTGAATATCTCAAACTATAGGCTGATCTGATCTGCTGAACTCTATTCTGTGTGTGAACATGCAGCTGTATCTCACATTGGACACTTTTGATCAGATATTCTCTCTCGTTCACAGACTCTCTGCGTTTCTCTTGCTCACAAACATACTTGCAGTCCCCACAGGACAGAGACATCACAAATGAGATCTCTTTAACATCTTTCTTTCTCCTATAGACCACAGTCTCCTTTAAATGGAGACTTTCAAGAGAAATCGCAACATTGTCTAAAACTGTGCTCTGATTCGACCAAGACACCAAAGTCTGCAATTCCAATATGAACTCAAATTCATTTCTAATCCAAATGAAAATGATCTGAGCTACACTGTCCACATTATGTTTCACGTTCTGTTTATTTCTCCAAAGACATTTTAACAGAAACATCTGAGACAAAGTTGCTACTCAAGCAAACATAAGTGAGAGGTCTCCTGAGCTATAAAAGAGCGACCTCTGAGCAACATCAACACATTTTCCTCTGGGTCTGTGTGGCTTCTTTGGGGCCTCTTCTCTTTTTTTCTATAATTTTGCTGCTCTCTTTCCTTTGCTCTTCTTCTGAATCTACCACACACACAGAGAGAGAGAGAGAGAGAGAATGAAAAAGAGGGTCTCAGCATTACAGCTCCTCGGTTTCTTCACTTAGAAACCACACACAGAAACACAAAACGCTCTCTCACACACACATACACGCTAAAAGTCACAACAGCACACCTAATCCAGCTCCCAAAGCACCTGCTCTAATCTCCCTCTCTATGTCTGTCTTTCTCCATGTGGATGAGGCAAAATGCACGGTGCAGATGCACACGTCTCAGAATGCAACAGATCAGCTTCCTACAACGGAGGAAATGCTTCTGAAGCGTAGAATCTGAATCCATCGGCTTACCCATACGCTGTTTATGAAAACAGGCATACTGTATATTGATATATGTATAGTATTGTTATAGATATATCTCTATATGTATGTGTTTTCACTAGATGCTCTGAAGAAGTTCTCCTCAGAAAAAGAAAAAGTGACAGTGGATGACAGATGAGTGAGGAAGACCAACAGATGGCAGGTAATCTTTATTCTCCTCAGTTTTTTCGTCCCAGTGCATTCCCGTTTCTCCGCTCCCAGCCTGCCAGATTCCGTGTTCCAGGGATGGTGTGTTCCCGTGTGGAGTCAGGAACGAATGATAGTGGCTTGCTCCCTCTTTCTCCCTCTCTCTCCCCCCCTCCCTCTCTCCCTCTCTCACTCAGTTTGTCTCGTGAGCGAATGAGCGTATCTCGTTTGCTGACTCGCCCCCCTCTCCCTTTTTCTCTCTGTCATTGACACCTTCTCACTCCTTTGTCCCATGTTTTGTTCTCACTGTTCAAAAATATTCCTGTCATTTCCCCCTGTTTCTGTCTGTTCCTGCCGCCTGTTTGCCATATGTTTACCTGCTCTCACTGTCTCCACAACCTGCTATTCGTTTTTTGTGTGTCAATCAATGGCGTATGTTTGATTTTGACATGGATGGGGACATAAAAGCAGTTCATGCCAAAAAAAAATTGTATTTATGATAGACTTTTGACCACAATTTCATGTCAACTATAGCCTTTAAAGTCACCATGAAATGGAATTTGCGACAGTCTTTTCTTCCTTATTGTGAAATATTTCTAAGTGAAACGGCTTCTCGAACAATAAAATATGTGTGGCGGGACTTGATTTTGTCCATTGGGAATTGATTGGATGGTTGTGGTTTGCTATTGCTGTGATGTCATGTGAGTGACAGGTTGTCCCGTCCTCGTGCCAGTGAACACATCATCAGAGAAGAGAAATGGAAGTTACTTTGATTAAAGGTTACGAGGACACATGACTTTTTAAAGAAATCATTTATAATAAATACTGCAATATTCCATAAAAAAAACAAGAATTGTCCATTTTGATTTCATGGAGACTTTATGCCAATACACTTTTGTCTTTAAGGGCTTCTTAATGGCGCTGTTCATCACTTTATTTTAATATTTAAAATGAATTGGACCAATGATAATGAATGAATTTTGCAGTATTTATTAAAACCTATCCGTGGACATCATTGTTTTAAACAAAAATCATGTGTCCTCGTAATCTTTGGTCAAAATAACTTCCTCTCCCTCTTGCAGGTCTTCTCTTCTCTGATGACGAGTTTACTGGCTCGAGGGCGGGACAACCTGTCACTCACATGACATCACAGCAATAGCAAACCACAACCACCCAATCAATTCCCCATGGACAAAATCAAGTCCCGCCCTAAATTTTTTCTTGTTCGAGAAGCCGTTTCACTCGGATATACATCACAATAGGTAAGAAAAGACACAACTTCTGTTTCATGCCGATTTAACTTCTCAGGTAACGTCAGTGGTATGAATCATTGCATATGCGGCTAAAATTACAACAACAGTGGTTACATGTGTATTTTATATGTTTGGCCAGAATTTCTAGGGACAATTCAGTAGTCGCTGGAAATTGGTATAGGAACATGAGTACCTACTAAATTCTATGCCCTTATATTTACATTACATTTACATTAATTCATTTAGCGGATGCTTTTAGTTTTATCCAAAGCGACTTACAAATGAGAACAATAGAAGCAGTTAATAACAGTAGGACAACAATATGCAAGTGCTATGACCCTTCTCAGCTTAGTCTAACGCAGTACATGTCATTTTTTTCCCTCTGTGTCAATAATCCATTGCTTCTTTTACTTTCTGTCTGTCTCTCTCTCAAAATCTTGTGGTTCAACAGATGACTGCAGCAGTTTTTACTGAGACAGCAGGTCACACAGTGTGTGTGTGTGTGTGCAGCACTCTTTTGGGGTTTGGCTGAGATGATGGGCAGGAAGCAGCAGGAGATTAACGGAACAGAGGGATCATGGAGAGGAAGGAACGACGGAAGAGATGAACGAGAAATATGGACTGAGGAGAGAGTAAATTTGAAGGTTTAAAAAGAAGGATGGGTCTTATTTCTCTTGTAAAAGCAAAATGTGTGTGAATCTCATGTAGAATATTTTAATCTAAAAAAGCAAAGAAAGAATTATTTCCAAATTGTAGACACTTTTATTTTGAAGTACAGGAGTAAAATGCTCCTAAAAAATGCACCAAAGGGTCTCCAAAACAATAGACCAAAATGTAACATATTTCAAGTTTCACAGAACTGCATTTCCAATGAGCCTGTGTTGCAACTGACAGTTGGGGAGGCGGGGTTTAAATGTGTCGCTGATTTTCAACCCGCTTTGTATTATTACAATGTTGGTAGTATATATAAATGAACAGTAGCTATGTTTTAATCTAATCCAATCTAATAATGTATGTGCATTTTGGAATATCGCATAAACTCCTGGATGGAAATGCCAAGATGAGCATAAATTAAAAAAATGTGCATAAAAAACGTATGCACTCATTTGAGTCGGATACATTTTTTATCCGATAAGAAAATATGCGCATAAACAATGCTGGAAACACATTTACCGAATAAATTCCTCGATGCGCATCATAAAATCATGTGACTTTGCGCGATGGGATGGCATAACTGCACTGTTTGCAGATCTCGGTGCAAAGCATCTGAAATTATGTTTTTGTCATTCTGAAGCGCCTTAGAAAAGTCTGTCGTCAAAGTGGTTTGGTATAATAATTACCTGCCAGAACAGTCTTACACGACTGCGTTCCCAAACAGCAGGCATCTTCCTCCGAAATCTGCGCAAGTAATTTATTATATACAAAAGTTATTATATACAGTGGCCTCTCCTACTTTTCTTAGTGCTATTTAGCACCAGTTTATCAGGAAGTGATGATTTTTTTCTCTTCTCCATTTTGCGCATAAGTTATATCCGCAACTTTGGGTGGAAACATAGCCATTGTTTACTCCTTCTCTGTGTTACCTGGACCAAGAAAAACTGTTTATTTGTCAACACAAGTCCACCGGAGGATGCAAAACGTGCCATCCGGTGGACTTTTGACAGCGCCATGGCCTTCGTGAAAAATACAGAATATACTTCCGCATTTGTGTATTCCCGCCCACAGACAGTCGGATTGACAGAGGGTTATTAACAGAACAGTTATTATAAGTGTAGGTTTATCACTGAGAATTGTATCATACTTTGTCTACTCTTTAAACAGCATTATGGTAAAAAAAATATGACAACAGATTTCTTAAACGATTTCTTTGCAGCCTTTAGCCACTGCCTATTACACGCCGGATTCTTCACTGGAAACCGAAAGTAACTCACTCCTCCTTCCCTGGAATAACTCAAGTCGACACCATTATGACTAAAAGTTTGCTAAGAAGTATTTCCTACTAATGCAAGGCAGTATTTGACTCTAGTAAGCGGATCCATAGCAGACTGGTGGGAGTGGCCTTAAATGGCAACATGCCCAGTGCATTATGGGTGTTGAAGTTTTCCTACCTATATTTGGCAAAAGTGAAGATAACAGCCTTTTTTCAGTTTTCTCTAGTCAGGTAGCACAGATTTCAAAAAAATGTTCTGCTGTATAGAAAGCCCATTTTGCCATCGATGAAGTAGCTCTTTAACTATCATGAAAATATTGTCACAACGCAACAAATTTTAAAGGTCATAACAATTCTTTCCCGGCAGCTTTCGTGAGATTCACCCACTGAGAGTTGGATAAAAAGCAGCAGAGGCAAGAAAATAAATGAGGTCAAGGAAAGAACAACAGGAACAGAGAGAGAAGGAGAGAATAATTTGCATATATGATAATGTTTTCGTTGAGTGTTTTGGTTGCCGGTGGCTCTGTGAGCTCTGATTGCTGTTAAATATTTCTGACTCATTTAAACGGCCTGATCTACAGCAGTGTTGTTTCAGAAAACGAGCCGCTGCCAACGGAAACTGGGGGAATTTTAGCCTTCCTCTGGCCACTGGGAATCATCTCACGTAATCCATTGTCTTACTGCTTTTGATCACTTACTTATCCACATTTACAGTCAATCACTTTTACAGCGCACTCAAGGTGTTCTCTGCTAACTGAACCCATGACCTTGGTAATTTCATCATTTGTTTCCCTGCCTTTCTGTGTTTCTTTCTCCTCCTGTAGCATCTTTGTATTCAAAATCAGTCTCCGGGTCTGTGTTTTTGAATTATTGCTTGTGGTGCAGCAGCGGCTCTTGGCACCACAGGGAAGGAACGGATGAGTCCAGAGGTCTTGTGGGAGAAATAAAGGGCAATGAGCGTTCAGGCCGGGGGTAACTTATCTTTAATCATTTCAGATGCTCTCTCTCTCTCTCTGGCCTGATCATGCCATTTCTCTTCTAAATGGAGGCAAGTAGCCTTGGATAAACCCATGTACTCATTTGCTTTGTGTTTATCTGTCTGTTCGGTTCATCTCTTCCAGGATCTGAATTCTGCGGGTCTGATTTGCCATGCAAGAGGTTTTACTGGCATTTAGCATATAAACCATGAGGGGCAGTGCATCACACAACAACAAAAAAATATATTTTTTGTGAAGTTGTAAATAAATGATTATTGGAGTGCGTTTTACAAGAAAATACTATTAGTTTTTCTACTTCATATTTCATGTTTAATTCAGTGTGTTACTTGTTACTTTGTCATTGTTTGTGAAGTGTACAAGCATTAGCTAAATTGTTTCTAGAACCAAATATTTTCCCATTATATACCATTAATATTTTTCAGCGTACCATTATAGAGAGTGTGAAGCTGACGTCATGCCGTGTTGTTCTGGGTAACTGTCTTGTTTAGACGTCATATTAGGAGTAGCCTTTCTGCTACTGAGTTTAATGCAGTGTTTTGATTTTCTATTGTGATTATCAAAAATGTCGCCATTGTAGGTCATTCATACTGCATCGAAAACTGCCATAGTAACTCACGTCATCGTTCAGTTAGAAAACTGGACAATGTAATATGTTTTTTCACCTTACGTGTAAAAACACTATGGGAAGCAGGTTGAGGGGGTGAAGAGAAGACGTTGGATAGCAAATCTATCAGTAATGTCACTGATTAAACCCACTGCCTATCACTCCTAATAAAGTGTAATAATAAAGTAATACAATAATCACAATGATGAGTGTTTTTTGAAAGTTTTGTATTTTGTTTGGTTTAACCATTGCTCTCAGTCGGCTTGCATGCAGCCACTTCAAAACTGTTCACTAGCACTAATCTTCAGTTGCATTTAAACCTTTCCAACAAAGAAATGTCTCGACTTCTTTCAGCTTGCTGAACACATATTTGTATTTATTTGGACATTTCTACCGTGTGTCAGCTGAAACAGCAGCGAGCGTCCAGTGTGTGACACTGTTTTCACTGTAACCAGATCCATGAATTCTGCGGTGAAAACATCAAAAGATCACGCTATGAAATAAAATAGCTTCTCTTCCCTGCAAACGATGCCATGGAGAATGTTATTATTCAACATGTCAGCTTTTTACAGCAAAAAAATATTCAGATGTAACCCCGTTTGTAATCAGTAACATTCTCACAAGTAGGCTAACTGTAATTTAATTAGCTACACATTTCTTTCTCAGTAACTGTAACGGGTTACAGTTACATTTTTCTGTAATGAATTAACATAACGCCATTACATGTAACTAGTTACTCCCCAATTCTGAGTAGCCTATCAGTAGCAGAGGGCGATCCTTTAAGATTGAGGCGCCTTCCCAGCATGCAACTTAGTGTGACAGCTTCACATTCTCTATAGTGATTTTATCACAATTTAGAAGTGTTATTAGGCATGACGTGGAGCATGGTTAACTGTGATGAAAATCACTGTAATGCACAACTTTTATAAAGCAATTCTTTTTTTCTTTTTTTAAACATAATAATCCAAACAAGCAATTATATCATAGAAATAGTCCTCATTTACTCTTCCTCGTGTCATTTAAACCTTCTGAAGTCATATAACTTACAACAATGTCATTATTATGCTAAAGAAGTTATTCTAAACTTCTCTTTTAGTTTTCAGCGGAGAATTTTATTCCATGTTTATAACAACGTAAGGGCAGATTAAGTAAATGATGACAGAATGACTTCAACTAATTTTGTTTCCAAGGCGACATTTATGTTTTTCATTCAAAATAATTCAAGTTTTCCATCTAATATCTCTATTTTATTTCAGCTTTATTTTTTAATTATTTTTTAGTTGCCATTAGCAACACTGCTTTAAACATGACTCATCCAATCAGAATTTAGTCAGCTCTCTCTAATATATTTCCTTATCTCTTATTGTGACCAAACAACACCGATACTTCATCTTCTCGCCTCCACCAAGCCTCCCCTCTTCCTCTCTCACCCCTCTTTTGTTTTTCTCTATCTTTCTCTCTCTCACTCTGT